GTACATTATTTTCAAATGGCTTTTCCTTAAATTTTTAAACCAAAAGGTGGAAAAACATTCAGCTTTAAAAACTTGAGCTTTTTTTGAATTATTTTTTCTTATCAATTTGATCAAACTTATTTTGGATATGATTACGGGCGTCATTTTTTTTTTTTTTTCCTCACTGGCTCTCTAACGAGGCGCATGCGTTTCTCCCCGCTCCCTGTTCTCCTCCTGCTTTTTTGCTACGTCTGTATCGGAGCAGCTCCTATTTTTTTACACGTCTTCTAAAATGAAAACTACTGTTTTAGATCTGACCAACTGGACTTTCAACGCAAATGACAAAATATTTTCAACAAAGCGACAGGGTCCTGGAGAACCCTCATCTGCTCGGACGATGCGCATGCAGCTGGATAAATCTCTGGGGGTGATGTGTCTACCTCTGCTGTCGAACGAGGACTTCAGAATTTCATATAATTGGATTTATGATAACAGGTTTCGTGTTTTTGGAATAGTCTGGATCCTGGTTTATCAACGTACAAAGAAGACGGCCGCAGATAATTTGGACCTCGACAGGCTGCTGTCAATGTGAAGGTTTGGTTCGTGCTGGGAGGACTCAAAATCAGCTGATTTACGAGCGGAACCGTAAGTTGGAAGTGATTTGAATCACAGGCCACCTGCGGCTTTGGGACTCGTCAGCATGAAAACCATCTTGAAGAGACTCATAAGCATGGACCAGTAGAATGCACCCTAATCTGGCCATTTTGGATCTTGGAAGTGTCAGTACAGACTCAAGGCTGACAAAAAAAAAATAGTCTGCCTGAAAAAAACAATTGTGGTTATCTGAATCTGACTCTCCGGTTGGCCTCGAAACAGGCCAACTTTTCAATTGTCTTAAATTGTGTCCTGTTAGGACAAGGTGTGAAGAGATCTTTTTTTGTAATGCCACTATCCTCTTCTAATGGCTTTGTCCCTTTTTCTATCTAAAAATATATTCTGAAAAGGATAAGGCCAGATTATCACAGCAGCAGTTTTGTGCACTCCGCCCATCTTTTGGATGGCTGTATGGACATATTCTCGTTGTGCAATGATAATAAAGCTTATTCTGATTCTGATTCATGTTGATGGAACATCTCTTTGTCTTTCTAAAAAAAAGCTACATTTAGCAGATTAGTGTTTTTGCTAACTTTGAAAGCTTTTAGCAGAATTAGCTTCCGCTAAATTTGAATCTGGTAAATTCAAGTAAAGGCAGTTCTCTGCACTGGAAGCATGCAGGAGAATGGTGATTTACACAAAGTGATGCTGTGCAGAGATAATCTAAGCACCACCCGGTGATGTGACCACCATCATAGTACTATGTCCCCCCTCATACTACCAAAAACAGTCTCTGACTCATGGCGTCAGTTTGCAGCCAATAACAGAGACTTTAACATAAATCAATCAATCAATCAACCTTTATTTAAATATCAACCTTTATATAAATGCCAAACCAGATCAGGAAAATAACATGAAAAATCAATTTTCACACTCAGAAACATTGTAAACAGAATTGTTTCACCCATAACTCCTACCCAGCATGCTTTTCATTGCTAACACTGTCTCTGGGATGTGACTCTCTCACACCTTTAATGCAAACAGATTTACTGTATTACAGAGTAATTATATATTATATATAGTATATTATGTATTATTGATGATGACAAACAACAGCTTTGTAGTTAGTTTATAAAAGTAGTTCACCACAAAGAGGGTTGTTAAAGTGAGTTAATTCATTAAAGTAAATGACCCGAGGGAGATGTCCGACACACATTGAACGCATCACTCTGCTTCAGCACATCAGAGTTCTGCTCTTTGGTTCAGATGGACCGGATTAATTTCTGAACGCTCACCTCTGAACGGGACATGGACGCTTTACCTGTGATTTATGGACCGTTCTGAGTTGTGTTCACTGACACTGTTGTCTCATTACAGACGGTCTTAAAATGTCAGCGAAAGCAGCGTATGAGAAAAGTTAGCACTTTAGCATTCACAAAGCTAATTATTTTAGTTAGCAAATTAGTGGTTAGCAAAGCTAACGTTTTGGTTATTTGTTCCCACCACTGAAATGTTTGTTCATAAAAAATGTTCTTAGTTTGTAAAATTTATTTAATTCATATTTTGGTAAATATTTTTGAGAAAGGAAAAATAACTCCTTGTTGATACTCTTACAAACACACAATAACAATGATTTATTCATTTTTTTCTGTTCTCAACAGCTGGCCTCAAGTCAACATTAGCCAACAATAAAATGGCTGTTCAGTGCCTCAGTTTGTTTTACAGATGTTAGGGCAACATTTGGTGTGGTAGTAGCTGAGAGTCATTGCCAAAATATTTTTACAGCTCTACCTGATCTGTCACAATCTCACAATATGACAGGAGATTTATATAAATTCATTTTTACGGTTTGACTAAAGCAGCTTCAGCCCCGTTTCTTCTCAGCACTAAATGATGTCACTGTGTTTTCTTCATGCAGTCGAACTTTGCAATGGGCCGACTTCCTTCCACATACAGGAAGTGCTACATGCTGGACTTTGGGCTGGCACGGCAGTACACGAACACCAACGGAGAGGTCCGACCGGTAAATATCTGTCTTCTTTTTCTTCTTCTCCACCTGCTGGTTTGGTCTGAACTACATCTGCCCTTGTGTAATGGCAATAAAGGTGTGCAGTGGTTTGTTCCACTGGCTGAGCAACAACACTCAGTAAATACTGCTGCACAAAATAACTTGAACCCGTCATTTTATGGTTATTTTCCTGAAATCATTTTTTATTTTTTAATTGAATACTTTGTTTATGTTGTTATCAAAGAAAAAAAGTACTAAACTGACTAAATAAGGTAAATTAGTTTTCGGTTGTAAATTGTAATCGGCACCGATGGGAATGTTCAGTTTTGGTGATGGGAGCTCATTCATCAAGAACATGAGGCTGAAGCTGCCGTTTCTTTACACAGCAGAGTGAAAACACTCAGACTTACTTCAGCTTACACTGTTCATTTGCTGCTAGAAGTTAAACCTTTTACAGCTAATTTTTCTTAGTCTGGCCCTCCAGCTGTCGCGCAGACTCGACCACGAGCTGCCTCCCTCCCTCCCTCTCACTCGCCCTTTGCACTCTCTTTTTGCCTGTGGTCACTCCTAAAAGAGCCACTTTTAAAGAAAATAAGACCCAGAAATTATCCTCCATTTAAAAATAACATATTTTTAATAACAATACTACAAATTTTGTTGGCCTTTACTAGGGATGTGTGATATGGCATAACATTCATATCACGATATGTATTGTGAAGGGTGGCGATAACGATATATATCACGATATGTTTTTGGTATAAAACTTGCAATAGGAATTAAAAGTAAGCAGTGTGTCCTTTTGCCATAATTTATTTTGAAAACTGCTATACCACAAAATTATCTCAGTTAAGAAAATTCCACTACTAGGTCCAGAGAATTTTTTTATGATAAGCAAATCAAGTATTAGGCTTCTTTCTTGTAGTGCAAAACAGTGCAAAAGATAGCAAATGTGGTTTTAGCCATATGTTTCAAACAAAAGAATATGTTGTTAACTCTTAATAGTTTCCAGTATTCTCACTTAAGAAATGAACAGCAACAGAGCAGCAAGTGAACACTGAAACACTTCACCCTCCAACCCTCCAGTGGGCGTCTCCTTCCACTTTAAGGAGAGCTGACACAAAATGGCGACCAGTTTCCTCTGTGGCTTTGACCAGATGGTCTCGCAGTAAAATCATACAACACAGCGTTCTTTCACCGATCAGAGAACAGGTTCAATCCTTTTTATTTCTACTCAAATGCACTCTCTAAAGTTGACCAATGAACTTTCGACAGGAAAAAAAAAAAAACTTTCAGCGGAACACAACATTTTGCGCATGCGTCCGAATACGAGTATGGCAAGTCGACCGTAGTTATCTTATAGCTTTGCTACTTAGCTCTCGAAGTAAATACTTTAGCACCACTTACGCACAGTTTAACTAAAAAACTTTTACCTATTAATGATATATTTGGCTTGCCTTAAAGCTCGGCGGCCCTCTAGTGGCTGAAAATGGTAGTGTTCAGTATTTTCCATGTCAGAATGAATGAAATTGTCAGATCGCAGACAAAAATTGTGTTATAATTATAGGGAAAAATCATAAATATGTTGCATCGCTATATAAGTTGCAGGCATGCTAATATATGCAAAAATACTGTGACTTATACAGCAAAAAGTATGGTATGTCTTTGTTTGTGTTTCCAGAACTAAACTAAACCTTAAAGACTCCAAAAAGTAAACGTATTACTTTTTTCTCACATAACATGTGTGTTGTCAGTCACTAGAGCCAATTTACAGAAAGTGTTTTATTTTCCTATATGGCATTAAGGAGACATATTTTACCAATCATTTTAATTATGCTATGACAGAAAAGTCCAGATTATGTCTTGAAGTTTTTCCTGATCCACTCTGCGACCCTTTGATTGCTTTAAACAACTCAATTTGGCCCTCTGGAAACAAATGTCACTAACCCTGCTCTAAATTAACAAATAAATCAAGTTTTGACCCCAGAATGAGATAAATAATTAAGTATCTGTAGACAGAGATGGCCTTACTCTCTTGTCAGGCCTGATTCTCTCTGTTCTTCTGTGTGCTTCAGTTTTCTTTCACCAGTATAGACCAAACTCCCAGCAGCTCTCGATGGGTGTGTTTGCTGCACTGCAGCAGATCACCCCTTCAGTCCGTCGTCCTCTGATGTTTCCTGCCAATCATCGAGAACAGGAACACGTCTCAGGGACTGACTAGGTCGTTTCATGGAACCTGACTCAAGCCCTTTGTTAATAAAATGAGAAGATGGACTACAATGACCCGAGTGTAAAAGGACTGTGGGAAGTCCAGATGTATCCAGATGTTTGTGTGGGAGTTTGTAGATTCAGTTTGATCAGATCGAGCTCCTGATGTCCAGCTCTTTCTGCTTCACCTCTTTTATTTATTTCCTCTCAGTCAGACTGAGCTATTTTTAGATTTCTAAGTATGTGAGCTGCTTTCATTTCCTCTGCTCTCCATCGTTCCTCCTTCTCTCCTTTCTTGTTATTTCCTAGCGCCCCTCCCTTTCTTCTCCTCTTATCTCCCCCGCAGTGTTGTTGCTTCAGTTGCAGGAGCGAGATGAATATTTGATGCTTTAACGTGCGTCACTTGGTGAACTTGCAGTCTCTTGTTTCTTTCCCTCACCCATCACGTGTTTCTCTGGTCGTCTCACAGCTGAGTCAGCTTCGGCTCATTGATCTGAGGAACTCGTCTTTTTCGCTCTGTCATTTTCCACCTCTCTCTCTTCTTCCTGTCCCTTTCCTCTTCCTGTTCTCCCCCTGTGCTGTCTCATCCCCCATCTTCTGTCACTCAGAGAGATATAAGCTCTGATCGCAGCGACGTGTTTCTCAGCTTCAGCAGGACGGTCTGCTGACGTTTGTCTACAGACTGCACACGTTGCAGCGACGAAGCGTTCGCATCTTTTAAAACAAAATAAAAGAACGATTACAGACGGATCAATTAAAGTAAAATTACTGTTAAACTTTTAGTGTTAACGTTAGAGTCAGATAACTGAGAACTGTTTCAAACAAATCTATAATTTAGAAAAGAAGCAGCTAACAGCTGATCTCAAGAAGTTAGTTTATGAATCGATCATTTGAAAGGTATTAAAAGCCCTCTTTGATGGGTAAATTTGAAACACAGACACATTGTTTAACAAACGTTTCACTTTAATTTAATCAATAAATGCCACTCCAACTTAAAATGATAAAAACGTTTGGCCATATTGAAGTGGGTTTCTGTGTAAAAGTTATGAAGAGTTCATTTTGTGGGTCACACAGGAAGAAGATCTTGCCTAGAATGTCAGAACCAGCAAATAATCCAAGTAGATATCTCTGCAGACAAATACATGTCTGGAGGGCCACATCTGACTGGATGAAGACAAAAAACAAGGTGTTTGTTAACCACAGATCTATTATGTTCACGGTGTTAACCGGTTCAACGTTAGCGGCGTCTCCATAACTTTTCTTTCTGCCGCTCAACACAGAACTTCAGGTTACATTTCAAAATAAGAGCAACATAACTGGGTAGTGTGGAGGGCTAAATGTGTTTTTTAATACCTAGCCATTACGTTAAAAAACTAAATCTGTTTTGGTTGTTGAATAATGTAAAACCAGTTACAATCAACTCATAAATAAAGAAAAATAAAGTAACTAAAATATTAATGATACTTAAACTGGCCTTGGGACAAAGGATGTTTCCTTTAACTTCATATTTTCTTGTTCATCTTTTAAATCAGTCACTGCAGATGAGTGATGGTCAGATTTCTGCACCTGGAGCAGGTAGTTCTGTTTACTGGTTAACTTCCTCAGCTGTCTCTGGTTTTAAGGGTCAACCTACTCCATGTTTCAGCTCCTCTCATAGATCACATCTCAGAGAAGAACTTCTAAAGAAAAACTTTTGTTTTTAGCTTTTGTTTTGGGCCGTTATCTCGTTACAGGACTCATGATCTTTAATTGAGACCAGACTTTTGGACAAATAGGAGCAGGTTTCACTTCAGATGTTTCATATTTCATTGTACCCAGACCACACTCAAGACAACCTGTGTCAGGTGCAGCTACAACCAAGAACTAAAGAGAAGCTTCTTGTGTTTGACAGCAAATATAACGCTGGTTTTTAGAAACCTTCAGTTTTAAAAAAGACCTGACGTAACTTAACTAAAGAGCCAGAATTACAGCTGCCAATCAGTGTTTGTCCTCTACAAACACCTATTCTCCAGAAACGCCCACTTTTGGTCTGCACAGAACCCCTTCTGGAATAATTGGTACACATACCAGGAGGTTAAGAAAAAAAAATATATATATTATTTTATTTATTCATTTAATACTTCTAAAGCAAGGGGCAAACAATCCAACCTAAACACAGAACAACAACTCACCCTAACTAGTTCAAACTTTTACAAATTATCCACAGCAAGTCACTGCAAACCCCCTCCTCTGGAGGGGCTACAACTACAACCAGCAACATGCAGCTTAGGGGGTTCATCAAACTTCCCACTCCTGAACAGTAGTCCCTCGCTACTTTGCAGTTCATTTTTCGCTGGCTCACTCTATCACGGTTTTTCAAAATAAGATTGGACATGACAAACAGTGGGCTGGTTGATGGATGAGCCGTACGATCGGCATGAATTTTTTTTTATGTATTATTTTAAATTACTTAGCACCTGCTGCACCTGTGTGGAGCCCACAGCTGCAGGAGAAGCTTCCTCCTGCAGCATGTCATATCCACTCTGCAGTGGAGACGTGGGTGTGACCAAGAGCTCTGGCAGGTGGCAGAGAGCAGCCGGAGGCAGAGAGCACCCGGAGGCAGAGAGCAGCCGGAGGCAGAGAGCAGCCGGAGGC